ATTAAGACATGATCCAATGGTTGAGAATGATCCAAGTGGTTGAAAAGTGAATTGTGAAAAAGTGGAAATGGTGCACTCAAGTGTGGAGACCTCAACTTTCTGGATTCATAACTCTCAAGGGTTATGGAGGATTTCTAGTACTTTTTGGAAAGCCCTCATGGAGCTCTACAACTTTCATGTTTACATGATCTTTAGATTCCAAGTGGAACTAGGTCAAAAAGTCCTTCAAAGTTGGCTGAAAACATGATTTGCAAGGCCAAAAAACTTAGAAATTTTCTAAGTGTTTTCCCCTATTGTAATGATTTTGATCATAACTCCCAATCTACTCATTTTTTGCACATGGACCCCTGTGAGACTTTTGTAGGAATTGTTAAGACCTTTCCAACAAGCTTTGAACCAACTCAATTGGATGTGTGATTAAGAAGTTATGGTCTTGCCCCTTTCAAAAGCCTAATTCCCGACTTTTCCGATTACTCCTCAACCCTTGATCCAATGGTCATGAAACTTCATGGATAAGTTCAATATGCCATTAGGAACATTTTTTCTTCACACTTTAAGGTCAAATTCCTTATGGTTGAAGAGTTGACTTTTTCACTGCACAATTGACTTTTTCCCCAAATCTCTTGATTTTCAATTGACTGATCAATTGAAACTTTTCTGATTAAAATTGATGGTCAATATCTCATCCCCAAACACCTTAGGACATATGGAATACCATGGAAACAAGTCTTTCTCCCGAAAACAAATTTATCCTGATTAAAAGTGAAACCCTAATTTCCCCCTTTTTGCCTAGGCAATGTGCATATGAATTGAGTGACCATTCTCAATCCACAATGACCTCTTAGGTACTCAGCAAGCCTCTACCAATGATAAATCTTCATGGACCCCTTGACAACCTTCTGATGGTTCCTTGATAATGTTGCGGCACACCTCTCCTTTCTAGGAGCTTTGATATCTCCATAATGATAACACACACATAACAACCTCTACCAATGCCTCTGCTTAAGCTTGTGGTAAATAAGGCTCTCTTATTGGATAGGACACAAACAAACTCTTGATCCCCTGTAAGAACTATTATATGCAAATGCAAGATGCTAAAATGCAATGAAACATAAACCAAAGATTAAGAAAAGAGGTTGGTCAAATTTTGGGGTATAACACCTGGGATGCTACGAGCTAGGAGTCAGTGAAAATTTTCATTTCTTTTGCGCCGAGGTCCTCTGTCAGTCGTAAGCATGCGATAAAAGCTTCATATTCGGCTTGATTGTTCAAGGTCGGGAAGGACATGACCAACGATACCTTGATTAGGACCCCCTATTCGTTTTCGAGTATGATGCTTGCCCCGCTGCTGGTGGAACTGGGCGCTCTGTCGACGAAAATCATCCACCTATGTGTCCCACTGGAAGGGGATGCTAGGGCTGTCATTTTGCCACGAAATCGGCTAGGACATGTGCCTTAAGGGCCTTCCTGCCTTTGTAGTAGATATTAAATTCTGACAGTTACAAAGACCATTTGAGCATCCTACCGGTCATATCTGGTCGATCGATAGTTTCCTAATAGGCTGGTTAATTGTACTATTATTGTATGGGCCAGGAAGTAATGTTTTAATCTTCTCGCAGCGTTGATGAGGGTCAGGGTGACCTTCTCGATCTGTTGGTATCTAAGTTCTGGCCCTTGTAAGGTTTTGCTTGTGAAGTATATTGGCTTTTGCCTATCGAGGGTTTCTCGAATGAGGGTAGTGCTGATGGCTTCATTAGTGATAGAGAGGTATAGGGTAAATCATTTTCCCGCTGTTTGGTCATGATAAAACAAGAGGTTCGGATAATGCTTGCTTGAGGTGGCGTAGTGCCTGCTCGCATTCCTCTGTCCACTCGAACATTACCTCTTTCTGAAGGAGCTCGAAAAAGGGAAAGGCGTGTTGAGCGGATTTGGCCACAAAGTGAGACAGCGAGGTGAGCATTCCGTTGAGGGATTATATGAATTTCTTTGACTTGGGTGTGTGGAATTCAGAAAACGCTCGACATTTGTCGAGATTGGCCTCGATCCCCTTCTCAGTGAGGTAGATTTCGAGGAACTTTCCTACCTGTACGCCGAAGGTGCATTTTTCTAGGTTGAATTGCATTTTACACTCCCTGGCTTGGTCAAAGACCTTTTGCAGGTGAGGCGTATGATCAGATTCCTCTTGGAATTTCACGAACATGTCGTCCATGTATACTTCGAGCATGTCTATGATTTGTGATCGGAAGACTTTGTTCATCAATCGCTGGTACGTGTCCCCTACGTTTTTAGACCGAAGGAAATTACGTTGTAGTAATAGTTGCCCGACGAGGTCATGAAAGCGGTGCACTTCTTGTCCTTCTCTGCCATGGGGATCTGATTATATCCCGAGTAGACGTCCACGAAGGATAGAAGTTTGAAACCGACAGAGTTATCCACTAGCTTATCGATGATGGGTAGGGGGTATGCATCTTTCAAGCAAGCCCGATTGAGATCGGAGTAATCAACACACATTCCCCACTTTCCATTATGTTTTTTGACTAATACAATGTTGGACAGCCATGTTGTATACTTGGCTTCTGAGATAAATTTGGCCTTTAAAAGTTCTTTACAAGTTTATTCGCCGCTTCAGTCTTCTCATTGGATTTCTCGCGCTTGCGTTGTGCTATTGCCCGAGCAGATGGGTAGATGGCGAGCTGGTGGCAAGTGATTCAGGGCTAAGGTCAGACATGTCCGCGGCGCTTCAAGCAAACAAATCAGCGTTGTTCTTCAAGCAGGTCTTTAGCTGTTATTTCACTTCATTCGACAGTCCTGCGCCGATCCTGACTCCTCGACAATCCTGTTTAAGTTAGCTTGTACCCTAAGTTAGCCTGTAATGGGTAATTGTTAAAAACCTCATTAGGTTAGTGTGATAATTTTCTTATAAATAGCATACTAGTATCTCATCTTGGCATAAGGAAAAATAGGAAGATAAAATCCTAATTTCAAGAGAGAGAGAGAGATTATTTTGTTATTCTTGTATACTTGTAATCTTGTTTCTAAGAGAAAGGAAAGAATATCAGTTTATAACAAATCTTTGTTGTTCCTTTGTTGTTTTACCTTGTTTTCTTTGTTAACCCTAACCCTTGTGTGTTTCTTGATCATAAAGAAACCTTTTTATACTTTGTTTAAAGACATCTGATTTACAACAAATATAAACAAATTAATTTATCTTTTAAAGAAAATAATAAAGCAAACAGAAAGGAACAACATATATTCGGGAAAGCCATAAAATCTCTTTATTCTCTTAATTAATGTCAAATTATTCTCTTTATTCGTGAAACCCGTAAAATCTTTCTTCCTCTCATTTAAAAAGCACAAAGAGCAAATAACAACATCTTTCAAGCAAATCCAAACATAACTCTTGATTCCACAAACAAAACAAAAAACAAGACAAAATTATAGGCAGCAAAAAAAGAATTCGCGTAAGGGACAAAACAAAACGGAATACCAATCGGCGGTGACCTTTTACAATCCATCAGTTTTGTTGAATATGAGAAAAAGTGTTAAGGTTCTTCGTTTTGGGGAAGAACACCTTTTTTGGAAACAAGAAGAACACGTCTTGAGAAAGAGTGACAGTAATAAATTATTATTGAATAATTTTTAGTTTATTGTTATTATTATTATAATACATTAATGAAATGATTTTAAATAAATTAATATTAAAAATTTAATAAATAATGAGCTGGAAAAATTAATTATAATTTTACATTGATACATCCTCACAATAAATACCACATCACCAAAAATTATTTTCAAATTGATCAGGAGACTAAAATCTAAAGAAAATTTTAAAAAGAGATTAAAATCCAAAACAAAATTTAAAAAAGACCAAAAACATGGTTGTAAAAATGGGAGGATTAAAAAAAAAGACAAAATAGGGGGACCAATTTTTTTTTTGAATAGGAAACAACACCACTCATTAGATAACAAAGAGAAAGTACATGGATAGTGGAAAACATTTTGTAAGGACATTTCTCATCCACATTTTAAAAACATTAATAATAACTAAATCATCTAAGATTTGGACACTAATAAATACATAGAAATCCGAAACCAACAGAGTATTACCAATCTAACTCCTTAATCCAAACAACCAAACAAAATTCTTCCACAAATAAGAAGTGAGTTTAGGAGGCACAATCTTTAAATCTATCCAGTTATGAATCATTTCTTTAACTTTGGATCACATAGTTCGATTATACATGCTCGAGAGTTTGATACTCACCATATGTGAAGAAATCGTTTGTTGAGTGGAAAAGAGAGTCTGATTTACAACAACCACAGTCAGGTTCTCGCTCATCAACAAGTTTTCTTCATCCAAACTTCTTTGGGGAATTTCATCAAACACCTTAAAATCAAACTTAACATAACCTAAACATAAGAACAACAACACACACAACAGAGACAAAACAGAAAACAAACCAAGAACTATAACAAAATCACAAACATAATATCTCAGAAATTTTGGATCTTCCGGTGGAGGAGACTCTAGAGGAGGTCGTTTTCTATGTTTGTACGATTTTGACACATTGGTTATTGAAGATGATTTCAGCGTTACAAGATCTTACTCGTTGTTGGAGGAGAGCATCAAGACTATAATGGAGGTTGAAGTTTGAGTAAGACAAAGATCCCTCAGAGCTAAATGATTCAATGAAATTGAAAGAAAAAGAGAAAACCCCAAGATTGAGAAAAAAACTCCATAACGGAGAGGAAAACCTCCATCTCGAAAGAGAGAAGCCCCGTTACCGGAGGGGAGACCCATACAAGAGGAGAGGCTGCACCCATCCATTTTCGAAAATCCTAGTTTTAGAGATAGGGAGACCAAAATCACAATATATATATATATATATATATATATATATATATATATATATATATATATATATATATATATATATATATATATATATATATATATATAGTATTAATAAAAAAATTGAGTCAGTAATCGTCCAATCAGCATGGTTACATCATTGGATTTTGGATTTGTGAGTCTACCCAAGTCTCAGCTCCCGCCAGAGAAACACATCTTCATGGCCTTCCTTCATTTCCCAAGGTTATCCTCTTCCCTTTCCACACTCTCCTCTCCATCATTCTCTCGTCGCGCTTCACGCACCTTCAACACCCTCCTACACCCACCACCAAATTCCACACCCACAACTTCACAACCAAACCAAGTATCCACAGTAACCCCTAATCCTGAAACCCTATCTCTTGAAAAACTCTTCGTTCCTCCAAACACCCATGTCACTCACGAAAACGCAAGAATCTTGAACGGTTCTAATATACTACTCAGCAATTACGCCACCGGTGCGAAAATTATACAAGCTGATTTTGTTAAAAGCAGCCCTGGAACTGAAGATTGTCCTTCCGATGGTCTTCCCGAGTTTGCGCTTGTTGGGAGGTCCAATGTCGGGAAATCGTCGCTTCTTAATTCTATTGTGCGACGCAAAAATCTTGCTTTGACTTCGAAGAAACCTGGTTGGCATCTTATTGTTGTATTTCTTTCAATTTTGTTTTTGAATTTGTGAATTTAATGTTTTTCGTTTTTTGTGTGTAGGGAAGACGCAATTGATTAACCATTTTCGTGTGAATGATAGTTGGTACTTGGTTGATTTGCCTGGTTATGGGTATGCATGATTTCTTACTCTTTGATTCTCATTTTAGGTTATACATTTGGGATTTCGGATTGGGGCTTAGCATTGGAATAATGTGTTTGGTATGTTCATAATTTGCAAATATTATTAGAACTTAGTGTAAAATTTCGCAACAGTCGGAATTCATTATAGTTTTAATTCTTTTGGATTCTATTAATTACTCACGGTTGAAAATATTTTCATATAAATGTCTTACTATGAAGTACGGACATGACACAAGCGGATATAGTAGTTTCCTTATCTTTTTCCGCGATATACTGTTATTGCGGTGCTATAGCAGATTAGCGTAGCGGTGATAGGATTTGGCGCAACACTTTTGGCATGTGAACTTCCGTCACCAATTGTGGTTGTAGCGGCTCTAAACCGCTATCACAGCTGCTATTTGGGTTTTGGGGAAAAATTACCCAAAACTTTTTCTTAAACCTTTTTTAAGGGTATAAATGTTAGTTCGGATTCTTTCAAGAGTAATATTACATTCTTGTTCATAAACAATAGTTATGTTCTTGTTCATAAACAATAGTTATGTTCGTCCTATTTTGGTTCGTCCTATCATGATTTTCGGGGCAAAATTCCCCAAAACTTTTTCTTAAACCCTTTTTAAGGGTATAAATGCCAGTTCAGATTCTTTCAAGAGTAATGTTATGTTCTTGCTCGTATACAATTGTTATGTTCTTGTTTATAAACAATCGTTATGTTAGTCTTATTTTTGGTTCAGTTATGTTATGTTTTTCTTCCATGTTATTATTAAGTATGAAGTTATCTTTAATTTGGTGTATTTTTCTACTTTCGAGTATTTTTTTTTATAACTTTGCACGCTGATTTATATACTCTTTGCAATAGCGGTTATCCTGCTATAAGACTAGCATTTTAGGGGGTCGGTGCTGCTTGACGCTATATGTGATTTACAACTTAAAAATGCAATGACATTTGTCAGTGTTGTATCGTGCCAGTTATTTGACGCATATTAGACACTTGACACATCTTTGATCCGAAGTGGCGGTTTTACCTAGGTTTTTAGATGTCCTAAGTGTTGTTAATGAGTCTTGACATATTATTTGTTGGGTTAGACATTTTTTTCAATGCTAGTTTATATGATTACTTCTTTTTCAAGGATAACTGCCGATGAGTAGTTTAATCATGTTCAGTTTGTAGATAGTTGATGACAATTATATGACATTTTTTGTTCTTTTCATTAGGTATGCATCTGCGCCTCATGAACTTAGAATGGATTGGGCGGAATTCACCAAAGACTTTTTACTGAACCGGTCAACATTAGTTTCGGTTTTCCTTCTAATAGATGCTAGCATTCCTGCTAAAAAAATTGATCTTGAGTATGCCAGATGGTTGGGTGAGAATCAGGTAATGCATCCAAATTTCCTTCATTAAACAAAAACTTCATGCTTCCCAAAGTTGTTCATTTGTCTGTCCTAACAAATATGGCACTTGCATTTCTGTGTCTGATACTCAGCAGATCAAATTTAACAGTTAATTTTGGTAACAAAAGTTGGTTTAATATAGTTTTCTTTCAGGTTCCAATGACATTAATCTTCACCAAATGCGACAAACGGAAGAAGACAAAGAATGGAGGCAAAAGACCTGAAGATAATGTCAATGACTTTCAGGAGTTGATTCGCAGCTCCTTCGAAACTGTGCCTCCATGGATCATGACCAGTAGTGTAACCCATCAGGGCCGTGATGAGATTCTCCTCCATATGGCCCAACTCCGGAACTACTGGCTCAAGCACTAGTTCGGGTCACCATATCGTCGGAGCTAAGCTGTCCATCTTGAATATTTAAAGGGTTGTATATATGAGTTTATCTTTTTCTAAGTGGCTCAAGCCGAATACCGATTAAGTTTTAAAATTCATATAATTTCTCATGTTTATTGTATAGGAAAATGCCTCTAAATTGATTTATATTTTATGTTGTATACAGGTTCTTAGCAGGTGACATGAAAGACCCTGATAAAAAAAATCTTTTTTATCAAGAAAGTTGACAATAAATTGTTTTAGTAGTTTTAGAATTTTTTTGACAGGACTCTACATGTGTATTAGAAAAAAGACGGGTGCAAATAGCAGTGCTATTTATTAAGCAGATATATGGCTTGCTTCAACAAAGTTTGCCATACTATGGAATTGGTTTTTATACCATATACTTCTAAACACATGATTCTCCTTTTTTCTGTTTTCTTTTTCTCTTCAGAATAGTTTTCCTGCATGAATTCAGAATTACCTGGCTTTCTTTTCTACACAACTAAGCCTTCTTTTCAATGCTATCTAGCACTGATATCTCTAAAAAATGACGTGTTTGTATCAGATAGACAACTATACTCACTGACGCCCACACTAATACTTATAATCACTTTTAATTTATTTATTTTTTATATTATTGTCGGTATTACCTTTTCAGTGTCGTATTTATTTTTTATTAAAATTATTATCGGTGTTACCTTTTCCGTGTCAGGGTCGTATTTTGAGTGTCTGTGATTCATAGCAACTAAGTATCATGTAACATTTTTACTCTTATTAATCATGTTATTTAAACTGTTTTAACATTAGTTACTATATACAGAATAAAATCAATCCATTTTAAATATACTCCATAGCTTTTACAAAGAAGTTCTAAGTAGGGATAAGGATTCTAAGATAAAATTTATGGATATTGCTCTATTATACCTTTATATTTAATTTTGCAAATCCAATAAAACTTTAAAATAATCTATTTTTAAAGTTAAAATAACTTATGGAACTCAAGTAACATTGTTGAGAAGTTACCTTGACCCTAATGTGCTAGAAGATTTCTTAATAAATCTCATATATTTCTTATGTCCTACGTGTAAATATTAAAATAAACTTCATATTTTAAACATTCATTTTCGAACGCATTCAATGTACACACAACAAAGATTATTTTGAATGATGTTTTATAATTGTTTTTTTATTTTGGAGATTCATCTCTGATATATTTTCGTAAATACATTTCCATGATGTATATTGGCAGAGGCAGAAACAAAAAAAACTAGTAATTTGACAAAATAAAATTAACATTCATAACATAAAATAAACATTACATACGTGATTTCAACATAAAATGCAATATTACACTTTAATATCAAAGTGGACGCTTCAACATCTTCACAATATCTTCGACCAATCTCGAAATCGTTGTCTGCAACTCGAACGAAACTTTTGTTTCGAAACGCAAATATGTATTCCACATAACCCTTACATTTGCATCCGTCTTGAGATCAAAGTTGCTGAACACAATATTCCCGCTGTCAATCAACGATGAGCGGTACTCGAGCTTCATAATTTTTCGATTGTCTCCGTAAGGAAGGAGATTATGGAATTCATATTTCAGATCTGCGAGAGAGGTGTACTCAGTGAGGTTAAACTTTCGCTCGGGTGTTGCGCTAGAGAAGGAGACATTTGCGACATACCAGTTGATGTTTATTTGTGACATTTAAGGCATTTTATATTTGTGTGCAATAAAAAACCAGATCCCCTAAATTTATAGAAGCAGTAGACAAATGTGGACCATTCAAAAACTAACATGTTGATTTCGAAGATATATGTCCGATTCCACACCCTATTATCTTATTCCGGAGATACATCTCTGAAACCTCTTCTAAACCATTTCCAAAACAGATTCTTTGAAAACAAAACTTATTTGAAGACTTTGTTTGACAAATAAACAAATGTTGTTGGAAAGATCAATTATATTATACTAAAATATTAAGAAATTGAATATATTACACTTAATTAATATTAACATCATTACATACACTTATTTGTCCAGATAAATAGGAAATTAAAACGAATCAAAACATTTTTCGTCAACTAAATATATGGGTGACACCCCCTTTGACTTTTGAGCATTTGATTCTCTTTTAATGTTGCTCAATATTTCGAACTCTTGCATCCTTTTCACAAAATTGTCTGGCCAAGTCTCGACTTTTGTTGTTGAATGAGCTGTCTATTCTAGTGATGTAAGTGGTATAAGGTAGGGGTGGCAAAACGAGTCGCCCCGCCCCGTCTTAAGCCCGCTAAAAAAAGGGACAGTATGGGAAAACCCAACAAGTAAAATTGGGCTTAAAAATCCAGCCCACCCTGTCAAGGTGGCGGGTTTGCCCGCCTATTTATTTATTTATTTTAATAGACTAATATGCTTAATTTTTCATTTCAATTAGATTTTGCACTTATATTATAGAACAATTTTTATAAGGCATTTTTAAAACAAATTTTACTTAAAAAAAGATTGTATATATATTCACAAATAAATGTATAAAATAGAATTATCAACAAACATTCTAAAACTATAGTTCAAGTATTAACCTTCAACCAACCAAAATAAATATTTTGAGTGCTTGATAACTAGGTTGGTAGGTTAACCCGCCCATTTTTTGGCGGGCTTAACGCGGGGCGGGCCGGGCGGTTAGGCGAACAAAAAATCTCAATCCAACCCGCCATTTTTTGGCAGGTGCGCGAGCCGGCCCGATGGGCCACGACCTGTTTTTCCATCCCTAGTATAGGACATCCTGGTTTAAAGTAAACTTGAACGAAATGTCGTGATTTTGAAATCCACCAATACACATAATACAATCATTTGAATTTTGAGGTGGGGCGGTACACAATGGGAAAAAGGTTTCTGAAAAACCGTATCATGTAAGATCAACACACACCCTATCATACACACATGCTATGAGGTGACCCATTTCAGGGAAGCCCATCCATTTTGCCTCTGGTGCTGGTCCACTAAGGCAATGAACAAAAGACTCATAAACTTCATCGAAACGTTCTTTCTTTCCGTATAGCTGTCTGTATGATTCTTTATGAGTCCTCAATTCTTGGATAAGTTGATGGAAAATAAATGTATGATTATCTTCTCCTTTACCGAGAATAGCCGAAATAACTCGATATCCATAATTATCGACCCCCTCAACATTGACGATCCGCTCGATGTATTTGTGCATAAAAACTGACATCTCGTCAATGAATGAAATCTTTGGTGGAGGCGGCTGTCATACCCTAAATTTGCCCACTTTTTTTAATCTCTGGCTTGTGTGTATGCCATTCAATAGGAGGGTTTTTGTTAGCTTCAAGCTCAAGCAAAGGCATTGGTACAAGCTATCAATTGGGTGTTATTATCATAAAGTTATCAAAGAACCATCAGATGGTTGTCAAGGGGTTCATGAGGTTTTGTCATTTGTGTGAGCATGAGGTAGAAGCTTGTTGAGTACCTCAGAGGATATTGTGGAATTGGAGTGGTCACTCAGTTCATCTAAGCAATGCCTAAACAAAAAGGGTGAAATTAGGGTTTCAATTTTAATTAGGATAAATTTGTTTTTAAGGGCAAGAATTGTTTCAATGGTTTTCCATATGTCCTAAGGTATTTGGGGATGGGAGATTGACCATCAATTTTAATCAGAAGGGCTTCAATTGATCAGTCAATTGAAAATCAGGAGATTTGGGGGGAAAAGTCAATTATGCAGTGAAAAAGTCAACTCCTGACTTTTTGAGGTCAAGATCATGATACTTGAGTTCAATATGACCAATGGATGGAATTTGATCAAGAAAAGTCAAGGGAAACATGAAAAATCAAGAATTGTTGAAAGTTGCCATTTTAAGGAAATTAGGGTTTTAGAACTTTCTATTTATGCAAAGTTTTACGTTTGGAACAACCATCTTCAAGGCCATTTTTCTTCATGATCAAGGTTTCAAATGAACTTGGATCAAACATCAAAGTTGTTCCTTGTATTTCAAGCTTTCTTTTGAGTACCAATTCATAATTATATGATACTTGGAGCTCAAGTTATGATCAATCAAGGTTGAGGTTTTCAATGATTTCAACATTGCCAAGATTGAACAGATTTTTAGACTCACTTTGCAAGCCAATTTTCATCAGGTTCTTGAAGTCAGATGGAACTTTTTCCCAAATGATAGTTTTAGAGAATGTTACAAGCTTTCCAAAGAGTCCAAGAAGTCCTCAATATGATTTGTGAGGCTCAAGTTATGGATGTGCAAAGTTGAGGAAAAATAAGCCAAATCCATAACTTAGAAATTTTTCTAAGTTATTTACGGACAGCTTGCATGACATGATTTTCAACATCCTTTTTCATGATCCTCCAATCCTCAAATCAATATGACTTCAACATGAAAATTATTTGTAGAAGTATGCTTCATCTCAAGGTTTCAAAGTTTTGATGACAACAACAACAAGATTCAAGATCATTTCATCTGTGCAAAAAGTCAGAAGCTTTCAAAAGACCAAGATCAAAGTATTATGAAAGTGATCAACATTCAAGCTTCATGTACATTTGCTCGATCATCTTTCAATACTTAGACACAAGCTATGGTATATCAAATTCTCTAATTTAATTGATATACAAGTGTTCAAAACTATATAATATTTTTTGCATAATGCATTGACATGTTTTAAAACCATTTGGAATTGGTATAACACTTTTAAATTAAGAATTTTTCAAAGTTCTTACAGTGTTAACCGATTAACCATATAGGTTAATCGATTAACGCCCTAAAATTTTAAATTCTTTGGGCCAACGTTACAGTGTTAACCGATTAACCTATATGGTTAACCGATTAACACTGAACGTTTTCTGAAAAATAGTTTGATTTCAAGTTCAAAAATTATTTAAATGTTATACCTTTCCATATGTTAACTGATACTAAAATATACCCTTCTGAAAAGGTGTTTTGGATTATATAAATTCTGAAAATTTCAGATTAAC